CAGGCTGGGAGAGGGCAGTGCCTGCAGTGACTGGGTACTTGATGGGTGAGGGTTGCCTGCCTTCTCAGCATGTCTTTCTTCATTCATCCCACTTTCTGCCTCAGGGAGTAGGAGCAGAGACTGGTTTCTGCCCCATTGTTCAAGTCCCGGTGCGCTTCTGGGCCCAGCCATCTGCAGCATGAGCACCAACACCTGGAAGACGGTTCTCACCTTGGAGAATAGGTCTCGGCTGGTTAGTGGATGTCAATACAGGCTGTTACTCACCTTAGCTCAGTGATAGTCCCTTCTATCTAGCCCCAGGTCTACTTCACCCATACAGGGGACTTGGTTGCATGAGGGCTGGGGGTGAGAAGGAGAAATGGGGACGTGGGAATGGGGTTTTAAGGGAAGGCCTTTCTTCTGATTGCTTCCACCAGTAGTACTGTTCCTCCTTAGAAGACAAAGACTTAAGAGTCCTGCTTTAGGTAGGTGTGGTGGCTCATGCCTGTAATCCCAGCACTCTGAGAGGCTGAGGTGGGAGGGTTACCTGATCCCAGAGATTTGAAACCAGCCTGTGCAACATAGCAGTACCTCATCTCTACAAAAAAAATTACAAAATTAGCTGGGTGCGGTGATGCACGCCTCTAGTCCTGTCTACTCAGGAGGCTGAGGCAGAAGGATCACCCGAACCCAGGAGTTTGAGGCTGCTGTGAGCCATGACTGTGCAACTGCACTACAGCTGGGGTGATACAGTGAGACTCTGACTTAAAAAAAAAAAAAAATCCTGCTTTAGAGTTAGTCGCAGGGCTCATGCCTGTAATCCCAGCACTTTGGGAGGCTGAGGCAGGAGGATCACTTGAAGCCAGGAGTTTGAGAACCTGTCTCTAAAAATAAAAAATTACCTGCGTATGGTGGCATGTGCTACTCCCAGCTACTCAGGAGGCTGAGATGGGAGGATCACTTGGGCTCAAGAGTTCACTGATGCAGTGAGCCATGATCAGGCCACTGCACTTGAGCCTTTGACAGAGCAAGACATTGTCTCCTTAAAAAAGAAAAAGAAAAAAGTCCTTTTTTAGTAAGGAGGGGATGTTGGGCATGGGGAAGTCGGGGGAAGAAAACCTCCGTCAACCCTCTAAACACCCCTTAGGAGTCAGCATTCAAATCCAACACACAGGAAAGTGTCAGGCTTTAAACTGAAGCAATGAAGCAAATAAAAAATTAGGTATTTATTGTTATCGTATAAATGTTTGTAGGTGGTGAATTGAAATTCAGCACAGCAGGTGCCTTGTGCTATGGCCCAGGGCCCAGCTCTCTACCTCCAGCAAGTCTAACTCGGCCAGCTAGGCTGAGTTTCCCTGGTCTCTGTTCCACTAGCCCCTGGGGTGTGGGTCCATTGGCCTGTCATACTGTGTCACCCCTGGCTTGTCTCCCATCTCATTAGCCTGGGTTCTCAAGGACAGGGATTGACCCCAGATCCTCAGTGCCCAGCACATGCCTGGTTCAGTTGGGCTGGAGCTGAGTGTTTGAAAACAGAGTCAGAAATCAGAAGGCAAGCAGGGGTCTGGTTTTCCCTTGAGTTTTCTCTTGTGAGCTCTGCTCTCATTCTTACAGCTGAGTGTTCAGAACCCCTTTAGGAAGTCTTTGCTGCCACCTCCAACTCAGTTTCAAAACCTGTCTCTCGAGCTTGCTTCCCTTCCTGTGTTCCTGTGGACCTGGGTCTCCCTCTCCTTCCCCTCCTCTCCTCCTCCAGCTGTGTTGATGCTGCTCAGCTCACCCACAGCCTTGCACGCTTCTCTACAACCTTCCTTGCTTCTTGCCTGGCCTGACTTCAAAACCTGTATCACTGCCTTTTTTTCATTTAGTCTCTAGTCCTAAACACTTACTGAAGTTGGTTAATATCCAGGTGACTGCTGGGTGGCAGGCCCAGTGTTGGAGGAGGCGGGGCCTGGTCTTGGAACTATACCAGACTCTTCCAGCATGTTTCTTCTGTTCTGTTGGATTCATCACTTTGGACTCATTACTCTTATATAGGCAATGCGGGGAAAGAAGTTTAAGACTGATTCCTTGGTCAGCATTCAAGTCTTCTGTGACCTTGCTCATCCGTCCATCTTTCCCAGTCCTGTGGTTCCCTTTCACGCATACCGTACATTCCAGCCAGACTGGTTCATACTCCATCATTCCCACCCTCTTCCTCTGTCATCACATGGCTTTCTGCTAGAATGCCTTCCCCTCCCCTTATCCCACGTCCTTATGTCCAAATTTTGTCCTTACTTGTGATTCAGTTTAAATGCCATCTCCTCCAGGAAACCTTCCTTGCTCTTATCTGGTAAGCATTGAAGTGTCTGTAAGCCTGTAGTGCATTCACCACTGCAAGGGACACAACTTACTGTCTCCCTCCCCAACTTGAAGCATTCCCCTGATTTGTTGCCTTTTCCAACGTGTATCATTTTATTTCCCTGCATTCTGTGTCCTCTCCATTAAGGGTAAGTGGGCTCTATAAAGAATTCTTCATAGACATCTTTCTGCCTAGCACAGTGTGCAGCCCAAGGTAGATGCCGAACAGGTACCATCTGTATAACTGAACACCTGTTTTGTGCCTTGCCCTGAGCTAAGCTTTTTCCATGCTTTGTCTCAGTCCTCACAACAGCTCTTTGACCTGGATGCTATTATTATCCATATCTTCCAGAGGAAGAAACTGAGGCTCAGATTAAGCAGTTTGCCCAAGGTCACACAGCTAGTAAGTGGCAGAACTGCGTTCTGTGCCCAGGCCTTTCTGTCTTTTTACTGCTTTGTGATCTGAAATAACAGGGTGGATACCACTCTCAGTATAATATATAAAAGCCATTGGAGGGGATAAACTTTGGAAGATGCCACCGGTTCAGAAAGAATACTTCTTAATTTTTAAATTTCTGTGTTCAGTAGGTTAAGCCATGACCTTTATCAAGAACAGTTCATAGCTGGGGCTTCGTCAAGACCAGCGAGGGGAGGGAAAGGCAGCTGGAGAGACCAGGTGGTCTTTTCAGGCTCCCCACAGTCATGACCTCTAGAAACTGGAATTTCAAGGCTCCACATCCTACTAGACAAGACCCTGGAGTGTGTTTGAGGAAGACAGCAAGCCAGGCATGGTGGCTCATGCCTGTAATCCCAGCACTTTGGGAGGCAGAGGCAAGAGGATTGCCTGAACCCAGGAGTTCAAGACCAGGTCGGGCAACTTGGTGAGACCTCATCTCTACAATAAACAAAAAAATTAGCTGGGTGTGGTGATATGCGCCTGTGGTTCCAGCTACTTGGAAGGCAAAGGCAGAAGGATCGCCTAAGCCCAGCAGATCGAGGCTATGGTGGCTGTGAGTGTGCCACTGCACTCCAGCCTGGGTGACTATGAGACTCCAACTCAAAAAAAGAAAAAAGAGAAAGACAGCAAAATGGCCTCTTTGTCTCTGCACTTCTTTAATCCCCAAAACCTGAAGTAGTAATGACTGTCCAGTACTGTCCTGAGTCCTCTGGGACCACAGAGATGAATCAGTCCCATTCAAAGGCTTCTGCTCCTGTGGAAGGTGTATGACCTAAAAATGAATAGTCTTAACATTCAGAAGAAGCATCAGTGATGCCGAGAGACACAGGTTTTTATGGTTGAACTGGGGAGGAGGGAGGAGCCCCTATAGCTGTAGACTGCAGAAGAGCTCTCGAACCTTGGCTTTTTTAGCGAACACCCTAACTTCTGACTTGGTTTGCAGGGACATGTTTCTGAGCCTGGATGTTTTGACATGCCCATTGTCCTGCCACAAGTTAGCTGAGGGCGGTGGTTTTCACCCTGGCAAAGGTATGGTTAGAGGCTTTGTGGCTGGAGTAGACTCTATTTAAAATAGAGTGTGGAAAGCCAGAAGCTGGGGGTATCTCCCTGTGTTGAACTGTCTGGACAGCTCCAACCCTGGACTACAAAGTAAATAAATGAGCAGATGCCAAGGGATCTTTTGTACCTTGCTCTTTATGTAACAGTCATTTAGTCCTTTCAACCCTATTTTGCAGCTAAGGAAACAGACATTTGAAATAGCTGTAATTTGCCCAAGAACGCATGGCTGAGTAGTAGCTCTTAACTGAAGTCTTATGCTGAGTGAGAAGATCAGTTGGGAGGCACAAATGGTGCCACATTGCTGGGGAGAAGAAAGAATTAAGGGCAGAGTCCTTAGGACAAGTTTTCCTGTTCTTGTTGTGGACTTGCACTGTGGACAGACACCAAAGAACTGAAGAGAGCACCTGTTATGGAGGAGAGACTGGTACGGTGGACCCCATCTGGTTAGACTTGTGCAGTGGAAAACTGATTGGGCCTGACTGCTGGCAAAAGAAGAGCATTGAGAAGTCTGCACGTTAGGGAAATAGGATGGGAGAGTCTGGTTTGATTGCTTTCAATCTGTGAGTTGGTGGTAGGGATGGATCTTTCTAGATCATAATTAAAAAGAGATTATGATCCAAAATCAGACAATAATTAAAATCACAGACTTGGAAAATGCTATGCCCCGAAGTGATCTCCAAAAGAATCTAAGGTTTTATTTACTTTTTTTACAGACAGAAAACCACAGCCTGGTGGGAAAGCAACCTGCCTAGGGGTAGTATGTTAGCCACAGAACCCAGACAGCTTGCTAATCTGAATCAAGCCTATAAAATGGGGGTTTAGTGAAGGAACAGAAATTGAATGGAATGGGTTCATAGGCGGGCAAGGCAGTGTACCAGTCTATATTTCTGAGAAATTTGCCAGCGTGGAGGAGAGTTACTGGACAGCAGTCGAGAGTGTTAGGTGGGCCAAGTCAAGATTTGTAGGACACAGGGTCTGAGTGTCTTTGGGGTTGGGGGAGAGTCCATGGTGAAGGGAGAGCCCACATTGCAGAAGAAGGAAGGAAAGCTAATTGTAGGATGGGATCCTTTCCCAGCTCTAACATGGGGTCCGAAGTCCAGGCAACAAACTGTAGGGTGATGTTCCTGGGAGCTGATCGCCTGCTCTTCCCTCTGCCTCACCCTGTAGGTGATTGCGGTCGTAATGGATGTTTTCACAGACATCGACATCTTCAGAGACCTGCAGGAAATATGTAGGAAACAGGGAGTTGCTGTGTATATCCTTCTGGACCAGACTCTTCTCCCTCAATTTTTGGATATGTGCATGGATCTGAAAGTTCATCCTGAACAGGAAAAGGTTTGTGGTACACTATTTCTGGTTTCACCACAATCGATAAATGTGAGTGTGCATCCATTATCTACAAGGCAGTTGGTGTTGATAACCTCATTTGCAAGTAAGGGACTGAGGCCATGAACAAAGTCATTTGCCTGAAGTCTCACAGATAGTGAACAACACCTATAACCTGACAGTATCACTCCTAGGTATCTACCCAAGGGAAATGAAAACATAAGTCCACACAAAAACCTGAATGTTTATAGAAGCATCATTCATAAGAGATGAAGGGCAGAAACAGTCCAGGGTCTATCAGCTGATAAACAGATAAGTATATGTTGTCTATTTGTATAATGGAATAATACTTGGCCATAAAAAGGAATGAAATACTGATCCATGCTACAACATGGGTGAACATGAAAACATAATGATGAGTGAGGGAAGCCATTACAAAAGACCACATATTATGTGGGTCCATTAAGTCCAGAGTAGGGAAATCTATAGAGACAGAAATAGATAGACAGTAGATAGACAGTAGATTAGTGGTTGCTGGGGGATGAGAGGGAAGGATGAGATTGCAAGCTTCCTTTTTAAGGTGACAAGAATGTTCTAAAATTGTGATGATGGTTGAATTGCACATATTTGTGAACATACTAAACACCACAGAATTATACCCTTTAAGAGTGAATTGAGATGGATGCAGTGGCTCATGCTTGTAATCCCAGTACTTCAGGAGACTGAGGCAGGAGAATTGCTTGAGCCCAGGAGTTCTAGACCAATCTGGGCAACATAGTAAGTTTCTACAAAAAATACAAAAATCAGCCAGGCGTGGTGGCATGTGCCTGTAGTCCCAGCTACTTGGGAGGCTGAGGGGGGATACCGCTTGAACCCAGGAGGTCAAGGTGAACCGTGATCATTCCACTGCACTCCAGCCTGGGCGGCAGAGTAAGACTCTATCTCAAAAAGTAAATAAATAAATGAGTGAATTGTATAATATGTGAATTATATTTCAATTAATCTGTTGAAAAGAAATGACAGGATTCAAGTCCTTGGCCTCTCTGCTGTCCTGGACTGCCTCCTAACAGAGCCCAGACCGGCCCTCCTGTTGAGACCTAGAGGCCACCTTGGGAGCTGTTGCTTTTGACAGTAGCTTTAGGAGGCTCCACTTTAAATCATAGCAGCCAGCATCTGTCAAGCCCCACTCTGTCCCTGACACCAATCCATGCTCTTGACACATGTTATGTAACTTAATCCTCACAGCATCCCTATCAGGTAAGTGGTACTAACCCTGTATTTTAGATCAAGAGACCCAGTGTCTACAAAGCAGTGGATGTGGGGTCTTAGTTCTCATCTATTTGTCTCCAACCCCTGTGCTCATAATCACTATCACATGCTACTGCTGCTCACTTCTCATTATTATAAAGTTAGACTTCATATTCATTTCTCTGATTGTGAAAATAATTTAAGTGTAGCTTTAGGAGGCTCCACTTTAAATCATAGCAGCCAGCATCTGTCAAGCCCCACTCTGTCCCTGACACCAATCCATGCTCTTGACACATGTTATGTAACTTAATCCTCACAGCATCCCTATCAGGTAAGTGGTACTAACCCTGTATTTTAGATCAAGAGACCCAGTGTCTACAAAGCAGTGGATGTGGGGTCTTAGTTCTCATCTATTTGTCTCCAACCCCTGTGCTCATAATCACTATCACATGCTACTGCTGCTCACTTCTCATTATTATAAAGTTAGACTTCATATTCATTTCTCTGATTGTGAAAATAATTTAAGTGTTTAAATGGAAGACTATACAACATAGCTAGCTTGGTCTCTTTCATGGAAAGAAGCAAAAAAAATGGTCATACTTATTATAGAATTTATTATTATTTTAGTAAAGCAACCTAACCTGTGAGCTTTGGAACTTAATCCATTCATCACCTTCTGTGTGCCATGTACTGTTCTAGTTACTAGAAATAAAAACAGGCAACAAATGAACAAAGAATCTGGGCTTGGGTACTATGGTGACTATATAGGAGACTTTGCCTTTCCACCTTGTTGTTACCAAGCAATTTGGTTTGCAAAATTTTGACTGTTTAACTTCTCCTACAGAATTCATATTGATTGTTTCTTGTATGAGAAAATGGAGGATTGAGTTTAATTAGGTAGTTACTAACCTGTCACTAGTGTCATAAAGCAAACCCATGGCGGAGGCAGGATTGGGGTTTAGAAACTGAATGAAAGAGACAGCCATGTAACCCAACAGGAAGTTAGAAAATGAGGTTAGATGGATCCAAAGAACAGACACGTTGGCGTGGAAAACAGCATTGTCATCTAACCAATTGTTCAGCCCTTGTCTGTCCTCATACAGAGTCAGGTGAAGAAATTGAATGTGTCAGTGTTTAATTTCAAGGTGTTCTTTCTATAGTTAAGACTGTGTGTTAGTAGTAGGAAAGTCACAGAATAGTTCTGGCCACAACTTTGATCAAATGTTTGGCTGTGATTCATCGGCTAGGCAGAACTACAGGAGTATTTATTGACTGAGTTGCCTACTCTTGGTTGCTGCCTTCATGGGTGTTCAGATCCTCTGTAGGAGGGTTTATAGGAGGGTCTGTACCTCTGGCCTCTCCTATTTTTACAGTGTCTTACTCCTTTCCTAGAGAAGCACTCTCTTCCCTGGTTGCTTCTCTGGCACTGGTGTGTCTATGCTGGTGAGTTTGTGTCCTTGTCATATGGAGTCTGACTTCCCCATGCCCTGCCTTTGCAGTTCATTCAGAGCGTTGGGTTGTCCTGTCTGAAGGAACTTGGCCATGCATTTGTATACAGGCACTAAAAAGTGCTTGGGCCACAGTCACAGAGGCATGCACAACATTCAGGTGTGTGCCCAATGGAAAGATACACAAAACCACACCTAAATCTGCCCATAATGGGTTGTATACTTTTGTATGCTTGTTATTTTGTGTTGATTCTTTAAGACTTGGCTCAAAGGTCATCACCTCCTCAGGATATTCTCCTCCTGCCAATTCCATTTGTACCTCTATGAAATTTCCTAGTTTTAGAAATTTTTCATTCTAATTTAAGATTTATAAAGAAGTTACAAAAATAATGTAAGGAATTCCTGAGTATTCTGCCCAAGTTCTACATATATTAACATCTTACAAACCTCAGTACAAATAACAAAATCAGGGAATGAGCTTGCTATAATACTGTCTAATCTATAGGCCTTACACATTTTATCAGTTGTTCTACTAATGTCCTTTTTCTGGTCTAAGATCCAGTCTATGATCACACCTAGCATTTAGTTGTCAAGTTCTCTTATCTTATTTTCATCTGGAAGTGTGTTTTTTGTTTTTCATTTTTTAATGTTTCTTTGTCTTTTAGGATCTTGGTGCTTTTGTAGAATATTAGCTAGTTTTCTGTAGAATTGGAGTTATTCTAGCCAGGTGTGGGGCTCACGCCTGTAATCCCAGCACTTTGGGAAGCGGAGGTCAGAGGATTGCCTGAGTCTATGGGTTTAAGACCAGCCTGGGCAACATGGCAAGACCTTGTCTCTACAATAAATCCAAAAAAAATTCGCTGGGCACAGTGGTGCACACCTGTAGTTCCAGCTACTTGGAAGGCTGAAGCAGAAGGATCTTCTGAGCCCAGCAGGTCAAGGCTGTGGTGGCCATTAGTGTGCCATTGTACTCCAGTCTGGGTGATAGAGTGAAACTCCGATTCCAAAAAAAAAAAGGACTGGGTGTGGTGTCTCAAGCCTGTAATCACAGCACTTTGGGAGGCCGAGGCGAGAGGATTGTCTGAGTCCAGGGGTTTGAAACCAGCCTGGACAACCTCATCTTTACAATAAATCAAAAAATTAGTCAGTCATGGTGGTGGATGCCTATAGTTCCAGCTACTTGGAAGGCTGAGGCAGAAGAAGAATTGCCTGAGCCCAGCAGGTTGAGGCTGCGGTGACTGTGAGCATGCCACTGCACTCCAACCTGGGTGACAGAGTAAGACTCTGACTCATTTAAAAAAAAAAAAAACTAGAATTGAGCTTATTCTGATGTTCCCTCATGGTTAAATTCAGGTTGCACATTTTGGTAAGAATACCACGAAAGTAATATTATTCCTGGTTTTTTTTGCTTTTAACTTTTTGGAATATTGATAGATTCACAAAAGTTACAAAGATAGTACAGAGAAGTTTTGTATGCACTTTGCCCAGTTTCCCCAATAGCTACATCTTTTGTAACTTATGGTGCAATATCAAAACCTGGAGACTGACATTGGTATGATGTTTGTACATGGTTCTGTGCCTTTTAGCATGACAGGTGTGCACAGGACTATTCTATCACCACAGAGATCTCCCTGATGCTTATCACATCACTCTTACAGTCACTTCTTTATAGTCACATCTCCATGCCTCTCTCTGTCTTTTAATAGTCACTTAGAGTGTATTGTATAAATGGAATTACATCGTATGTGACCTTTTGAGATTAGCTTTTTTTCCACTCATCACAGTACCCTTGAAATCCATCCAAGTGGTGCCTGTATCAATCATTTGTTCCTTTTGAATGCTGAATAGTATCTTATGGGAGGGTTTTGCCATAGTTTAACCGTTCACCACCAAAGGATATTTGGATAGTTTCCAGTTTTTGTCTATATTGAATGAAGCTGCTATGAACGTTTGTGTAGAGTTTTGTGTGGATGTAGGTTTTCATTTGTCTGGATAGTGTTATGTACGATAGTTTCTGATCATGTGGTTGGTTTTCTTTCTCCCATGCTAGTCCTTGAACATAAAGAAGCATGCTTTATATCTCTGTTTTTGTGGAGCTTGTCATATTGTAGGGGGCTCTTTATGTTTGTGGAATGGATGAGAGAGTCAAACAAAAATCTTACACATTTAATTTGAATGTGTAAGATTTCTAACAGTTGATAGCTACTGATCTGCTCCAGAGAATGCAGATTGTCTTAGTATTTTGTAAAACATTGTATATATACTTACATGTGTCATTTTATAGGAATACTTATGCATACATATGCAGTATACTACTAGTGTCCCTTTTTGGTAATTACATACTTGTAGGAGATGTGACTTTGCTGATTAAGCCACATGAGACGTGAGCATTTCTGCCTCAGCAGTCCTTTGTTATAGAAGACTTGTCCTATATTCCCGTTTCCATACTCATTATGGTGTGGGGGTGGAGATGGGCTGTGATTGTATCTGATGCCATTAAACAAAAGAGTAAAAGAAAGATCAACTTGGCTTCTTTCAGCCTTTGTTAAAATGTTAGTTATTATTAGCATGTTTCCTTTGATGATTATATCCCCCACATTTTGCTTCGGAATCATTTATTGGATTCTATTGTTTAGTGTCCCAAAAAGTGTGTTGTCTTAGAGCATATATATACATGAACTAAGGGTCATAAAAGGTTAATATAAGAAAAGGACATATGAAAAGATGGACTAAATGTAGAAGTAATATTACTCGAGTCCTGAGAACCATCTAAATGATGACCCTAAGCCATGCATCTGGCCAGTAAGTTTGGGAATTGTAAACTAAGCATTCTTGCCTTAATCATTTGCTTACTGTATGAGTGTTGCTGAATTGTTCCTTTATTTTTCTCCCACTCCTCCACTAACAGCTGATGACAGTCCGGACGATTACAGGAAATATCTACTATGCAAGGTCAGGAACTAAAATTGTTGGGAAGGTTCATGAGAAGTTCACGTTGATTGATGGTATTCGTGTGGCAACAGGCTCCTACAGGTAAGTTTCTAACTCATCAGTTGCTTATTAATCTAAACTCTTCTAAAGCAGCATGTCATATAAAGGTAAATGATTCTCTTTTCTCTCAACAAGAGCCTTTATGGGTAAGCATTCTTATATGTGTGCATCTATGTGAGTTGGTTAATCAAAGCCACCTTCTGTCAGAAGTTAGGGTGGAGGGGTCACTTCCCCTGTTCTATGGTCCACAGGATTAAATGCAGAGGTTAAGCTTGCCTTGAGACCATATAGTCGGCAAGTCCTATATTCAAACCTTGGCTATAGTCTGCGATAGATGAATTGGGGGTTAACAGTGGCACACACAGTCTCGAATCCTGGTTCCCTAGGGATTTGGACCCCACTTGCCCTGCTCTGGTGAAGCTAAGGGCAGTTGCAGGTATTAGCATCAGTGTTGAAGGCAGCGCCAAAGCTGTCACCTTTAGACTTAAATCCATTACCTTGTTTTAAGCCTTGTAATTTAGTACTTTCGTCTAGAAAACATTGATCATGTTTCTAACCCCACCTTTGAAGTCTCACTTTGGCAACAGCATCTTAAGGTAGAGAACCAAGAGGTTGAATAGAGGGTGGGGATAATGAGTGGTTAACACTGATCTTCAGAAGTTGTGCCATTTTTTACTTACGTGGCTCCAGTGGTTGTGTGTTTTGCCACTTCTGCATTAGATTGATGGTATGCATGAGGTCTGTCTGTAGAGTTTCAAAAAGAAAAACTCATGTTTGAAGAAACACACATCCCCGAGTGATAATTACATATCAGCCCTGGGTAAAGTTGGAAATGTAAAGGGTTGTGGAAGATGAGGCGGTAAGATCAAGAAACTCTTGATGCCTTTCTTTTCAAACAGTACCATCGTTGCTCAGAACAAAGTTTGAACTTTTTTTCTTGAGACTACCATTTGTAAGAAGTTTATAAATAACAGGAGAAGACTAGATTTTCACCCAAAGTAGGATTTATCTATATTAATGAAACTTATCTCCAAGTGTTATTTTGACTATTCTAAAATATAAAAACTACCCTCAGCATATGAAATTAGGCTGCCACTGATAATGATGATAGCTTCCATTTGTTGAGGGTATTATATAATCTGGGTATTGGATAAGTGCTTTATTTATATTATCTTATTGAAGGTTCCTTCTCAGGCTTTGAAGGCAGTTCTCAGGTGGAATTTGTTCTAGGCGGGATTCTGAGTTAATAGAGACAAGAATTAACACCATGTCTGAGATTTCTCATTTTTAACCTACTTTTGGTACAAATCTCTGTATCAGTGGGGTGACTGCAAGTGTCTGAAAGCTAACTCAAGCAACTTTATGCAAAGTGAAACTTATTGACTTACAGAACAGGGGAGTATAGAAAGATATAGCTGGTCCTCAGCTCATCTTGACCTAGAAGCTGCACTTCACTCAGAGCATCCTCTCCTAGTTCTGCTTTTTGCTAGCTGATCTTTATTCTCAAGCAGGCTCTCCCTTTGAAGGCAAAGATCCTGGCTTTCTCACATGGCCTTTGGTAGCTATCTCCCAGAGTAAACTTCTCTTCCTCTGAGCATGAGTATCAATCCCTGAACAATCACTTGGCCCTGGAGGGGTGATATGCCTACCCTGTATGAATTCCTGCTCCAAGTGGATAGGATACTCTGGCTAGCTTGGATCATATGCCCACCCCTGTTGTGATTAGAAAGGCTTTTTCAAGCAGGGGCAGGTATGAGTTCTGTTAGCAGAGGAAGGGGAAGGGATGCTGGGTGGACACATGGCCACTAAGAGTTTCTAAGCATGTTTTGGGCCATAGAGATTGCTGAAAACAGCAGTGCTATATAAGACAGCAAGAAGCAGGGCACTAGCAATTCATAAGGACTGGGACCTGATCTGGGGCCCAGCAGTAGCTCCCTGCTGTGACATCTCTAGCTGGTTTTATCACCTCTAAAATGAGGAATGAGTACTAAGTACTTTAGAAGCCCCTTTCTAGTTTTTAAAAACTGAGGCTGAGGATTATGTAGGTTTTAGTGTATTGATTAGACAGTTGGTCTTTTTTACTTCAATATTAATGCATATATATGTTATATACATATGTTAAGGCTAGTTGAATGCATGCTAAATGGTAGGTGTTATATAACCAAAGGTGTAGCTCTTATATGGCAGGCTATCTAGACTATATTATTCAGATTGACACTAAATAAACAAAATTTCCTCATTCTTACCAGTTTTTGTTTGTTTTTAATCCTTAAGTTTTACATGGACGGATGGCAAATTAAATACCAGTAACTTAGTAATTCTGTCTGGCCAAGTGGTTGAACACTTTGATCTGGAGTTCCGAATTCTATATGCCCAGTCAAAGCCCATCAGCCCCAAACTCCTGTCTAACTTCCAGATCAGCATCAAGTTTGACCATCTAACATCTGAGTGTAAACCACGGTCCAAGGAGCCCACGCTGGGCAACCTCCTGCGAATGCGGCTGGCCAGATTCTCAAGTACTCCCAGGAAGACTGACCTGGACTCAGAGATGTCCACAGAAGGCAAGGCAGAGACCAAGCGCCATGGCTCTGAGTCCTCCACCATTAGTGAGGAAGACAACTTTAACTGCAAGGATGAGCTAGAGGATAGAAGGTCCACTGATGTTGCTACTCAAACAGAGCCAGCAGAGGAGATGCTGACGGTGAATGTGAGTGAAGTGGGAACACAAACCAACACAACCACAGCGTGTGCTGGGACCCAGACTATAGTTGCCACCAGAGTAGTGAGCTCCCAAACCGTGGTTTGTTCTAAGTCAACCACCACTCAGACTGATGTGGATGAGAACATTCTCTTTTCTCAGGGAACCCAGTCTAAAGAAGGGTCACCAGTCTCAAGAATGTCTGTGTCAAGATCTTCCAGTCTGAGGTCATCTTCCTCTTTGTCTTCCCAAGGCTCTGTGGCAAGCTCCGTTGGCTCCCACACTCCCGTCAGAGCTACCGACCTCCACAATCCTGGATATCCCAAGTACATGGGCACTCCCCACTTGGATCTGTACTTGAGAGACTCACTTAGAAACTTGAATAAAGAGCGGCAGGTTCACTTTGCAGGTATCAGGTCCCGGCTCCACCATATGCTGGCTATGCTCTCAAGGAGATCATTCCTTACTGAAAATGACCTCGGCTTTAACTCTGGAAATTTTACCAGAATTAATCTGCTTGCTGTTAGAGATACAGCACTTTATCCTTCCTATCAGTAACTGCTCAGTGTTCAGACTCCTGGATTTAGCCAGGCTTGCAGTGACATAAGTGTTTCCTACTTTAAAAAAATTATCCTATGTCCCTAATTACTTTCTCTCACCCAACTTTTAGTCACCTTTTCTGTCTTTGAATTCTACAAGCTGCACATTATTTTACATGCTTTTGTTTTATTTTTGTCATGTATAAACCAGGGGTTGGTTTTATGTTTTAAACACTAAGGGTACGGTTTTTTGTGCAAATTTTAATACAGTCATGCACTGCATAATATTTGGTTGGCGATGGACCACATACATGACAGTGGTCCCATAAGATTATAATACCGTATTTTTATTATACTTTTTTATGTTGAGATACACAAGTACTTACCATTGTGCTACAGTTGCCTCTAGTATTCAGCACACTAACATGCTGTACAGATTTATAGCCTAGGCACAGGAGGCTATGCTACATAGCCTACTGTGCCATCTAGGTTTGTGTAAGTGCACGCTAGGGTCTTCACACAAGGATGAAATAGCCTAACGACACATTTATCTGAATGCATCTTCATTGTTAAGCAACACATGACTGTATGGATGTCTGTAACTCTTAAAGAGAGTATTTGGGTGTTTAAGGTTAATTCAAGTAAGAGACGAAATATATTTTGCCCTTTTCTTAATTTGCGTACTATTCTATTTTAAAGGTTTGAATCACCAGTGTTTTTATTATCATACTTCTATTTAGAAAAACAAAACTTTCTTAATTGTTTATCTCTTTAGAGTATCTGTGTTCGTAGCATTAAATAAAAATAAACAACTTTTGATTGCTTGAGTACTTTCTTTTTCTTTCTCTGGCACTTTTCTCTTTAATTCTACAAGTATGTCACAAATAAATGCACCTAGTAGTTATCTCTTTAGTTTTTTTTTGATAGTGTTAAGATAAGGAGAAAGTAGATGATCCAAAAGGGAAAATATATCCACTTAAAGTCAGTAGATAGAAAGCTAGTATTGGGATCATACCATCTTAGCTTTATGCATATTGATATTACTCTACAGTTTGAGTGAGGAAACTGGCTAGAAATAGCAGATTTTTGCATGCGTTCTGGTTTTTCTCTTTTCATAGAAGTCTGAGCTATTTTGATGTGGACCTTTGTTTTCTGCTTCTCTGCCAAAGGAGGCCTCAGTGTATATTCCTGGATTTATCCTCCACATTAACTCCGGTGGCCCCATGGGCCTCATTTCATCAGATGGGTGTACTGACAGTGATTTAGCAGTCATATCCTGGAGTAGGGGCAAAAGAGGACACTGACAATTATCCCAGATTCCTGGTTCAGTGGCAGGCAATGTAACTGGTTTCTACACCCTGCTAATCAGGGTTGTTATGGCTGTGGAATCCTGTTTTTGTCTCATTTGCATGAACAGACAAAAGGAAGAGAGTTATATGATGGCTTCCTCCTGACTTGGCTAGAGCAAAAGAGCTCTATAGTAGGGGAGGGTGTTGTCTGCTACACCGAATGCTGATGCACCTGCATCATGAGAGCTCCTGCACTCATGCATGTGCCAGGGCTCCCTCATGATGACCAGGTTATTTGCTGTAATCTGACTGTGAAGCTAATGTAAGGAAGCTGTCAACAGCTCTTGGCTAAACCTCAAATAAACATGTTATTATTTGAAACCACTTTACAGATTTGGGCCACTTCATATATGCTATCTTTGATCCTCACAGCAATGTAGTGGAGAGTTAGACAGCTGTTTCCAATTTTCAGATGAAGAAATAGGCTCAGATTATGTAGTTTATTCGCGATTACATGGCTAGTAAGTGGTGACACAAGAATTTAAACACGGGCTTCCAGGTTCTAAATTCAGTGCTCTGTTGCACAGCTGTTCTCTGTGTGGAGTATGGAAGCATGAGAGAGTGGGGAATGGCAGTTAATGCAATGGTGAATGGAAAACAAAAACAGCATCATTAGCAAGTAAAGGTACAAAGCCCTAATCTGTGATAATGTATTTTAATTTCATTTGAAATTTTAGCTCAGTGTTCTATGGAACTGTTAATAAGGTTGTGTGTTTAGTTTGGGAAATGTGGGACCAAATAAATTGAAACACGATTTTTACTGCAGGATCATGGTCACAATGAATTTTTCAGAGCAAGGTGGGTGTAAGGCCTATCACAAACTTACCTGACTACTGAGTCCTCTTTTTGTAGAGAACTCAAAACTATTCTCTGGAAGTATGGCCAACAATTAGACCTAAGACCAAGAGATACATGGAATCCTAAGGAAATGGCCCAGTCTCTCAGCAAGGTTTTTCTGGAGCTTGAGTCCAGGTATTCTCCATAGGGCCGCATTTCTCAAAGTAAGACCAGAGGAATACCTGTATTAGTCTGCTGGGGTGCTTGTTTAAAATGTTGATTACTAGCTCCATTCACAGGGAAGGGGAGGGTGAGTATGGCAGCCTATATGGTTCAAAAACATTTGTTACCCCTTCCTGGAAATTATATTCCTTTTTCCATTTGCTGTCAGATGTGGCCATTATAGATTTGGCTATAAGTATTTCTGCATATATTTGTTTAAAAGATAATTCAGTTTTAGAAAATAATCACAATTCCCCTATCATATCTAAACAACTTTAATAAAGACTTCTCAGTGTCATCAGATGTTCAAGGTTCAAATTCACTCCTTTCATTTTTCTTTTTCTCCCTGATGGTTTGTCCATGCTATGTTAAGGTCGACCCAGTCAGACTTCAGGGTTAACATTCTCTTGTAAAACTTAAGGGATCAACTGAAGATGTGACCACCCTACATCTAAGTAGTTGGGTGAGGGAGTATCTATCTTTTGCTTATGAGACTTAAAAGTCTAACAAGAAAGCCTAAGGCACAGGTTGTATAAATTAAAAGTTATGTAAAAGAAACCAAGAGTGAGGGATACAAAATGATGTCAGGGATAAGGCTAAAAGTGTATGCCACAATGTACACACTTCATGTAGGTCACACATTTAACTTAAAGCTTTTTTTTCTTTTTTTGAGTCGGAGTCTTACTCTGTCACCCAGGCTGGAATGCAGTGGCACGCTCACGACCACCGTAGCCTTGACCTGCTGAGCTCAGGTGATCCACTTCAGGCTTCCAAGTAGCTGGAACTATAGCCCCCACAATGCCCAGCTATTTTTTATTTTATTTATTTTATTTATTGTAGAGATGTGGTCTCCCCAAGTTGCCCAGGCTGGGCTCAAGCAGTCCTCTCCTCTGCCTCCCAAAATGCTGGGATTATAGGCGTGAGCTACCACTCTTGGCTAACTTTAAGTTTCAAGTAGTCAAGACAGAGAATCCTGGACAGTTACACCATTTACACTGTCCTTAAGATGAAAGTAAATCCAGGTACAGAAAGAACAATTATTCCTGGTACTAAGATAAGGTAAGAATCTCTTACAAGGATCTTCTCGTGTAAATGGTACTGTGAAACATTCTGATAATCACGTGTGATAGTAAACAATGACCAATGTCCTGGGGTGTGCCCAGACCCTGAACTCTACAAGGTTAGTTGTCTGAAGCTATAAATGAGTATATTCAGATGTATTCTGTAAGCATGGAATACGTGCCCACGATATTATCATTGTGTATATATGTTGATTTTAGTCCATTGTTTCTATACCATAACTCCCATAACCATTGTTATCATCTTTTGTTATAAAGTTGGGATGCTTCAGGCCTCAGAAGCAGGACCCAGGAAGTACAATCTCCTCTCATTGACCTTCTCCTGTTCTTTCACCTGCCCAAGGCAGAATTTTAATCTGACTGTGGATCATAAAACCCTCATTCCAGAGAGGGTCCTATCCCACACTCTGGAGGAAGGAATGATACACAGGCCAAGAAGAATCTGGAAAGACAGGCAGGTGTGGGGGAAGGGACATGGTGACTCCTGGGGGGTAGTGTGCCCCTTCCCCCACATCCCACCCTACTCATCTCTTCATCTGTATCCTCGGTGTTATCCTTTATAATAAACTGGTAAATGTAAGTGTTTCGCTGAGCTCTTTGAGTCACTCCAGTCAGTTAAACTCAAAGAGGAGTTCGTGTGAGCTCCAACCTGAAACTGGTTTGTCAGAGGTTCTGAACTTGTGACTGGCATCCAAAGTGGGCTGGCCAGTACCACATGTTGAATACGTTCAGATAAGCATTGTTAGGCTAGGCTAGGCATTACTGGTGCCACACTCCAAAATTTATGACCCAGTTTGCCTGACAGAGTTCCATTTTATGTCTCTTATCCCCAGATCCCATCTGGTTAACACCTCCTTTTATTCTCGAAAGTCTCCCAGTTAGAACAAATGGTCATCCCATGCACCTCGCAGACTTAAGGAGGCCTTCCCCGGTTCATCCAACTTCATGGAATTGCATATCCTTCAAACCAAAGCACTAGAGGCTCCTCTGGTTGCTGAGTCTCTCTCCCACTGGCTCTCTCCACAACTTGTACCCAAATCTTTTTTTTTTTTTTTTTGAGTCGGAGTCTCACTCTGTCACCCAGGTTGGAGTGCAGTGGCACGTTCACGGCCACTGCAGTCTTGACCTGCTGGGCTCAGGCGATCCTTCCACCTCAGCCATCCAAGTAGCTGGAACTATAGGTGCACACCACCACTCCCAACTAATTTTTTGATTTATTGTAGAGAGGAGTTCTCGCCAAGTTGCCCAGGCTGGGAACTCAAATCCTTGAAGCTGAGTAAGCATGTTTGCTTATGCAAATACATGTGCGAACGTGATCATTTGTGTGCAAGTCAACAAACCAGACAGGTTTACATATGTTACAACAAATTGTGGAGGGCTACACCTTAGACTGTCAATGGAAAGTCCAGAATAGTGCAATTCAGTAAAGCAATTCTGCAGAGAACCACCTCTTTTCAGTCTAGAGGATAGCGTTCTCTCATCTGGCTCAATGGAGGCAACCCAAGGTTAGTTAGGATTTTTCTTAGGAAGCTAACTTTCTAGCACATGGATATATGGATGGTTGTAAAGGACATTTGTTATTTTTGCTTCATTCATTCATTCATTCATTCAATCATTCATCCTCTGACAGTCTCACCCTCACATTTCCCTCCAAGGAACCATTCTGTTCCACTCTGAGTCCATGTGGTTCTAGTGAAGCTGCCCACACCTTACCTTGGGGGTGGGATGTGTGGCCTAGGCCTAACCCAATTGGCATATCATATTCTCTGGTCTTAGGGATTGATTTAGGGATGGATACATGACTGGCCAGTCAGAAACACTTCTCCCAGGAAATTTTGATGCTTAGGATGGCGGTGGTTGGAGCTGACTTGGCCATCTTGTTACCACATTACATTGGAGTCAGTAGAAGGTAGAGCAGTATGATCAGAAAGAGTTCTGATTGTGTGATATGTATTCTGATGCAGTTATTCAAGTTGGAAGTACTCTTAAGACTTTTTAGTTTATATGAGCCAACTTAGGTGAGGTTGGGATGGGTTTTCTTTCACTTTTATCCATAAAAGCCTTAACTAGTACAAAAATGAAAATCCCTAAATCTTGTGTTTCCCAAACACGGTCAATATGCTTGGTCTGGAAATATTTCAAAGCAGAAAGTATCAGTTACCATCGGCACAGAAAAACTTTTTTATTTTTATTTGTTTTTGTAGAAACGGGGTCTCACTATATTGCCCAGGCTGGTCTTGAACTCCTGGCCTCAAGCTATGCTCCTGTCTCAGCCTCCCAAAGTGTTGGAATTATAGGCATGAGCCACCATACCTGGCCGAAAAACTTCTATATTGTGCCCATGTAACATGATTTTCAGGGACATAATCTTTCTGTAAAACCTACCATAATTTGGAAATTGCAAAATGCACCCCTATGTAACAAAATGATTAAACTTTTATGGAATTGTTGGCAATTAACTAAATTCTAGAGATGCCATCTTAAGAACTACGTTTTAATTTTAGAGTAGCTATTTTAGGCCAGTCTTTCTGAAAATAATTAGGAAGATGAAGTGTCTATTGGGACCATTCCTAGTGTGCACAATAAAACCACACCAACACCATATAGGTTATTGCTTAGGTGTTTTCTTTAGTAGAAGTCTCTGTAAGCAAAACAACCCACTGGGGACAGTTGGACTTTGAGAACTTTCTGAGGCAGATGAACTAATTCTCGTCTAGGGGAGCTTAGCCTTAGTTCTAATGGTTTTAAGTGGCCCATGTGGCTGGACATACACTGGCTCGGGAGTTACAAAACCTGAGCTCTAGTTTCAGTTCTGACACTAAATCAGTTCACTGACTCTGACCAAGTACCTTGAACCTCCATGGACCTGTTTTCCCTCTATGACACAAGGAACTTAGGCTAGATGTTCACTAAGGTCTTCTCCAGCTTTAAGATTATGATCTAATACTTGGGCATGGCCAATCTATTTTCTCTTTGTAAACAGGAAGATTTATTCATGTACGTTGTTAGTAATATATAGAGAAACAGTGCTAAAGTGGCATTTATTTCCTTTTCCTTGTATTTGTGTATAAACTTTGGTTTCTATACTTGGACCTTCAGTGAAAATAAAACAAGGAAGGTTCAATATCATGAAGAACTAAAACATAGTATAAAGCATGGTGTTCACATATACATTGCTCAATAGGCACTTGTTATTGGTCTATGAATATGAATATGACATGATCCTTGTCCTCAAGAAGTTCTCACTGTTATAGTGGAGGCAGGTCAACTATAGTTTAGATAAATGTTATCACAAAAAATGAATATGTAGGTTCTGTATGAGTATGTAGTCCACGGGGGAATGTTTACATTGAATAGTGTATTTGGAGCTGGCTCTTAAAGGATATCGAACCCTATTTTCATTATTATGGAAATAAAGGCAATATCTGCTAAACAAATAGAATCTATGTAGGTAAATCCAGAATATATTTTCCCCATGTTAGGATTTGCTGTGTTTGAATTAAGAGCTAGCATTGAGTTCCTCCTATTTTTTGCATTGTTAAGTACTTTATTATCTCATTTAATACCTTTTAAACCACATTTTACAACTAAGATTTCTCTTTTTTTTCGAGTGCAGTGGCATGCTCACAGCCACTGAAGCCTCGTTCTGCTGGGTTCAGGTGATCCTCCCGCTTCAGCTTTCCAAGTAGCTGAAACTACAGGTATACACCACCACACCCAGCTAATTTTTGGATTTATTGTAGCGACGATGTCTCACTATGTTGCCCAGGTTGGTCTCGAACCCGTGGGCTCCGGCAATCCTCCCACCTCTGCCTCCCAAAGTGTTGGGATTATAGGCTTAATCCACTGTGCCTGGCTAAGATTTTTTTCTAAAGACAGAACTTCACTCTGTCACCCAGGCAGTGAGTGCAGTGACACAGTCATGGCTCACTACAATTCCCGGGCTCGAGCAATCCTGCCTCAGCCTCCCAAGTAGCTGGAATTAATTTTTCTATTTTTTTGTAGAGATAAGGTCTTGCCTTGTTACCCAGGCTAGTCTAACTTCTAGCCTCAGGCAAGCCTTCTGCCTCAGTCTCCCAAATACCCTGGGATTACACGCGTGAGCCACCATGCCCGGCCCACAACTAAGAAATAAATGACAGCTAGGAGCTAGGAAGTAGTAAAGTTCGGATTCTAGGTCAGAGCTCTTGTCTCTCAAGCCCTTGCTCTTGTTATAACTATGCCATTTCCCTCAAAGAACTCAGAATTTTCTTCAGAGCTTTACAAATGCACAGATTCTGAAGCCTCTCACTTCCTTCCAAGTAGTTGCCTACCTATAAAATATTTCCTCCACTTGAGCTCATCAGCCCTCATTAGCTCTCCTTTGAATTAGTGGGCGCTTTCTTACAATGCAGGTTCCCAGGTTATGTGACCCTGGAGATTGATTCAGGATTAGATCGGGTCCTAGAATCTGTATTTTTAACAAGCAATTAACTCATGAGCAGCAAATTGGAAACAACACTGGGTTAGTGCCCTACCCTTACTACCAATTTCTAGTCTCTTCTTCCAACCCATTTCACCCTCCACCCCGCCCCCCTTTCCCAGCTTGCTCTCAAGGTGAAGACGTCCGTATCATTTCACAATGTTTTATTTGGCGATAATAATAAACACTTCCCATTGAATATCGAGCATGTATTCATTTACCATTCATCCTTCCCCAACCCCCGCCTTGGACGATAGATCCATGAAGGGGCTGATGCACAGTTGGCCCCCAAAAATCATCACACCCATGAGGCAGTTACTATTATCCTCTTGGATTTGAATATGAGACTAGAAAAGAATAGCGAAGTTGGGATAGCCTGTAACATAGCAGCCCGTGAGTAATCCAGCGCCCACCGCGCGCAAGGTGACGCGTGGGTGACAGCAAGACCCTCAAGCCAGCGGTTATCTCCCAAGGCCCGGCGTTCCGCGAGCGTGCGGCCGTCACTGAGGCTACGCCATGCTTCTAAGTAGGCGACTCGGAACACCGACCCACCAAGCTTAACAAGGAGGCAGAGGCGCGCGCCTTTTCCCCAATATGGCGGGCGGAATCACGTGGCACAGGGGGCGGGCCGCAGCCCTCGCGGGTGTAGGGCCGTGGGTCACGTGGCTCAGAGGAGGCGGGGGCCATGGGGGCGTGGCCGTCACGCCGCCGGATCCGCCTTGGCAGAGAGAGGCTCCTCGCGGGCCACGCCCCCAGGGCCCTCGGGGGCTCGCGTGCGGCGGCGGGGTGGAGCGTTCCTTGTGACCTTTCACCCCAGCATGGCTGCGCCCATGGGACCTGTGAAGTTCTGGCGACCCGGTAAGGCCTTCGACTGAACCCTGGGCAGTTGCGGCGTCCTGACTTCGGTCTTGGCGCCGCTGCCCACACCGTGGGGCCTGCAGATCTGCTCAGAGGCCTGACCTCGGCGAGCAAGGCACTGCCGCCTCCGTGCAGGTGGACTTTACGGCTCCGTCTCCCCCAGTGGTCCCGAGGGATTCGGGGTCCGTACCTAGCCTGGACAGAAACTCTGACCTCGTTAAAGTTCCCCAGCCTCCTTTTACTTCGTTCTCCTCTTCCTGATTTCTGTCCTGCCAAACGCGAAATGGGGAATCTTAAAGCTTCCACGCGTGCCATTTTACTGGGTGCCAGACAAGCGATGCTGCTCAGGGATTGATTGGGAGCTCAAACTATGGAGTCAGAGTGCCTGTGTTCGAATTTTACTCCCTGTCTTATAGTAGTAGGTGACCTTGGGCAAGTCACTTAACGCCTCTGAGCCTTGGCCCCCTCACCTGTACAATGGGCAGAATGACATCCTGTGGACTTGAATAACGAGCACAACGCGTTGTCTGACTTAAGTGCTCATAAAAAGGGAAAGTGTCATCTCTACAATAAATCAAAAAATTAGCCAGGTGTGGTAGCACGCACCTGTACTTCAAGCTACTTGGAAGGCTGAGGCGGAAGGGTCACCGGAGCCCAGTAGGTCGAGGCTGCGGTGGCCAGAAGCGTGCCACTGCACTCCAGTCTGGGCCAGAGTGAGACTCCAATTCAAAAAAAAAAAAAAAAAGGGGAAAGTATGTTATTTCCTTTCAGAGTAACTCCTGTCTACTCCCAATGTCTACCAGAATGTGAACACTTTCCTTCATATTGGTTGCTACCAGCTTTCTCTCTTGGAGACTAACACGAATCACAATAACAGAATGCTTTGCTTGTTTTGTTTTAGTGATTAATCATTAATCAGATTTTTAATTCATTGTGTATTCAATATGCCAGACCATGCTAGATGCATTACTTCCTCCCTATCCATAAGTTTCTTATAAAACAAAGTATTTTTTGAACATTTTACCAACTTTTTTTTTTCCCACCACCTGCACCCCCGCAGTCTAGATGTGCAAAGTACATTGCAGCAAAAGTGAAATGACACAGATTAGGTAATATTAGGAAAGCTTTTAAAGGGTGTTTTAGAGTAGTCCCTGAAATTCTGACCATGCATATAAGCTATGTAAGAGATAAACCCAAGCAAGAGGTGTGCTTAAATCTTTTTTTTTTTTTTTTTGAGTCAGGGTCTCACTCTGTTGCCCAGACTGGAGTGCAGTGACATGATCATGGCTCATAACAGCCTCAACCTCCTGATCTTAAGTGATCTTCCTACCTCAGCCTCCCGAGTAGCTGGGACTACAGGCGTGTGCCACCATGCCTGGCTAATTTTTTGATTTTTTTTGTAGAGATGAGGTCTACAATATTGCATAGACTGGTCTCTAACGATCTCCTGCTTCGGCCTCCCAAAGTGCTGGAATTATAGGTATGAGCCACTGTGCCTGGACTTTAAATCTTTTTTAAAATCTGTAATTTGTCACCTAAACATATCAGCCAGTTATCCATTCTGAGTTTCATTTGCAGTCCAAATTAAGATCTCATTAAGTAAGGAGATGCCTTTTATTTTTCAGGCCTGTAGTAATGGGTGAAAGTGTTAAATGTAATAAAGACCTGACTAAACTGTTGAAAATAAGGCCAAGTTACTATTTTGGTTAAAAAATATGGAATTACTATAAGAATTCTATTGTTACTTAGTTCGTTCATTGAAAGTATACTTACTGCACACCTAACTCTGTACTCAGGAGACAAATATAGATGACCAAGATGTTTTCCAGGTGCTGTCGCCCTCTCTCAACTGAATATGAAGTTAGATGTCCTCTAGAAGAGATTTTAAAATGAGTCAAAATAAGGCAGTATGGTGAGGAAGATGGGCTCTAGAGTCAGACTGTGGTGCCCATCTTCACTACCACTTATTAACCTGAAGACTTGACAGAGTCACCTAAGTTCTCAAAGCCTCAGTTATCCCATTTGTAAATTGGGCATAGTACTGACCCAAAGGAATACTGTGAGGATTAAATGAGTGTAATAGATGAAAGGCTCTTACCAGTAGATATGTAACTTATTATTATATGGAAGTATGGAAGAAGGAGGGAAAAGTTGAATGTATGGATAAGAAATAATTTACTAAGGTAGAGATATTATTGGAGTGAACATTGAAGGATGAATAAGACTTTATTTCATGAAGAGACAGAGGAATGCAACTCTAGGCAAAGGGTGCAGCATGAACAAAGGCAGAATGAGATTTTTGCCTTAAGAGTGTTCCAAATACCAAAATAATTAAGTAGTGTGAGGTATTAAGTGGTAGGTTATATTTTGGAGTGTTGCAGAAGATGAAGCTAGAATGGTAGTAGGTAGGGGCTTCATTGTGGAAAGTCTCCATGGCAAGTTAGACATTTTGGACTTCACTGTTTTTAAGCAGGGGAATGACACAATCAGGTTTACTTTAAAAAGAACTGGCAGTGGTGTGGAGGATGGACGGAGGAGGAAACGAGAGTCAGGGACACTCTTAAGAGGATACTGTTAATACTAAAATCCAGGCAGGATATTGAAAAACCTCAATTCTGGCTTGGGAATGACAGGAAGGGCCTATTAGACTTTGAGAGGTAGGTGTGGGAGAAGGTGAAGTCACTAATGACTCAGTTTCTGTATTGGATGACTGTCTAGGTTAGTGAGTCTCAAATTTTGCTTTATAGCTGAATCACTTGGGAAGCTTTAAAAAGTCCTGATGTCCTTTTGTATTCCATGCCAATAAATTGGAACTTAAGAGCTAGGAGCCTGGCATCATTATTTTAAACATTCTCTAGGGCATTTCAGCATGCATTACCGTTTGGAAACCACTGGTCAGGGTAAACTGTGTTGTCATTAATTGAGATGAGAATAGCTTTAGTACATTCTTATTGGGCCCTTGTTTTGTGCTAGTCACTTTCACTTACAGTGTCTTATTAAAAAGTCACAGCATTTATAATGGCGATAATGCTCTTGTTTTATGGATGAGATGACTCAAGATCAAGATATGAAATAGGTTGTGGGAAATGTAAGGTGAAGGACAGGAAGGTGGTTGAAGCTGCATATAAGGCTAGACATTGGAGTTATGAACATACTTTGTAGACCAGAAGTCACAGACTTAGATAGCTACAGAGATCATTCAGACAGTCTAAATGAGTGAAGCTGCTGGGTGAAGGTAACAAGCAGGGGTGGGGACTGTGGCAGACTAGCATGTGCACACACTGGCTAGATACAACAATGTAGATCTACACTGAAGCTTGCATATGCTTTCTAAAGCAGGATGTACTTGGGTCCATCTAACTGTTATCACGGGGACTCAGAGCTGCCTGATTTTTAAAAATTTTTATTTAAAGAAGGCTGACTGGGAGTGGTGGCTCACACCTGAAATTCCAGCACTTTGGGAGGCAGAGGTGAGAGGATTGCCCGAGTCTGGGGGTTTGAGACCAGCCTGGGCAACTTGGCAATACTACATCTCTACAATAAATCAAAAAATTAGCTGGGCGTGGTGGCACGTGCCTGTAGTTTCAGCTACTTGGAAGGCTGAGGTAGAAGGATCACCTGAACCCAGCGGGTAGAGGCTGCTGTGGCTGTGAGCTTGCCACTGCACTCCAGCCTGGGTGACAGAGTGAGACTCCAACTCAAAAGAAAAATTAAAAAAAAAAAGAAGCCTAATATCCAGATTTTAATGGGAAAATTTTACATATTGTTTTAAATGAACTATTTGAAAGATTTTAACAATACATGTCTGAGGACCTTAAACCACCAGTTTGTGATCTCTACTTTAGGAGTATGACTTAAGAGCCTTGTATGATCTGCCTGAGATTATTCTAGGAGAAACTTTTACTTAATTTGCTAGCACACATGGACCAGAAGGGCCTGTCCAGTTTCGTTTGCTCATTTGTTAAGTGTTTAATGATTGCTGACCATATACTTGACAAAAATGTTATAGCAATAGCTTTGAAGCTTTTTTGACCTGACCCCCAGCAAATAATATATGGTGTTGTGATCTAGCACACATAAACAACTGAAAAAAGTTGTACAAAAACAGTATTGCTTTCTGGAATGTGCTTTGATACTTTCTGTTCTATTTCATTATTTAAAAAATGTGGTATGACCTACTACATTGATTTCATAACCCACTAATGGGTTACCACTCAAATTTTTAAACACTGGGTTAAAGGTAATATGGGATAAAACGCATCAGCCTTGTTAAAATAGAGAAGTGAAGATGTTTATGGTTTGCAAAAATCATGAAGTTGTTACTCCCTTAAGCCTTGAGCATACACTCAAGGAAAAAACCATAAGCAGCCAGAGTGGGCCATGGGTTCTGGTTTGACTAAATGAAGTCTTTTGTAAGGATGAAGATATGCTGTTCATTGACTGACAGTAACTATTCTCGTGACAGTATACTGAGATGGACTGGTCTGTAGGTTAGAGGCAAGGGAGGGATGGGGTAGTGTGGAAGACACATGGTGGGATAAATCCTGGTGTAGGAGGAAGTAGGAGACCTTGCAGGAGCAATGTTAAAATATTCCTGAGAGGGTGTGAAGGTTTAAAATTTGGTTTGCACGGGAGGGAATCAGGTCAAAAACACAACAGGTGAAGATAAGGTGTTCTTTGCAGCAATTTTCTTGGGTAAAGATTACAAGGAAATATTAAGATATCGTGATAATAAGGGAAGACAGGAAAGGAAACCCACTTCTTTGAGCACAGGCTTTGTTCCAGGTCCTATTCTTTTATCTTGTTGAAAGGAGGATTAGCATTTTGGCAAAAGCAATACAACAGTGCCCCACTTACCTGATTTTTGGCAGTCTTGAACTTCTGGAACACAAATGTGTTCTTGGAAGCAAATGGAAAAAGGTTGGATATTTAAAACAGTGATTCTAAACTTAGTGCACAGAACCCCATTATTTTATATTCTGGCAAATTATATTCTGGTGTATTTTTAAGGAGAGGGAGTTCACAGCCTTTATCAGATTGTTGAAGGAATCTGGGACCCCTAAAAAGTATAAAAATAAGTCACTGGGCTGAATATTCTTGTCACAAAGCCCATGCACTTTCTCACATTGCATCACAGATTCTGAGTTCAGATGACCCTGGAGATGATAGTTTTTGGTAGTTATGCCTGTGGTGCCCCAATAGGAGGCTGCTGTCTAGCACATGTTTGAACTTCTAGCGAGGATTTTGTTGATTCACAAGGCAGCAGACTCCCGTACTGAACAGCTTCACCTTTTAGAAATACCTTCCTTATGTTGAGCGAATTCTAGGCCCTGTGTCATTTACTTGTTACTTCTAGTTCTATCCTAGGGATAAACAAACAAATCAGCATGAAAAGTTATGGAAGCTGATCATAAAATTTGAACCATGTTTCTCCTGAGCATGTTTCCTTTCCAGGCTAAAAGTCTGATACCTTCAACAAGTCTTCTTGATGCGTTATAGCTTCCCTGTTCTTCACTGTCCTGAGCACCAGTTTGTCATTTTTCCTAGCAAGAAGCCAATCTAAGGGACTGAAAGGAACCTGTGAGGTACCAGGGTGAGAGATGGAGAAGGCAGTGAGTGGCTGCATTGAGTCCTTGTCTTCCTGTCCCTGAACTTTGTTGCCATCCTGCAGTAGCAAGATTCATCCTTGCCTCAGCTAATTCCCACTCGGTTTCTTTCATTTTTGTTAAGAATTTAACAATAACATGGACGTGGAAGCCAGAGCTGAAGCCACCATTCCCTGGAATATACAGTACTGGTGACTGACTTGGAGCCTAGTGAGACTGCCATCTCCTTTGTTCTTGGCACTGCCTTGAAGCTTTTAGGGAAGTTTTTTATGGTCCTGATAGGTACTTTTCTAGATGCTTTTCTAAAGTTAAAGTTGAATCCCTTTTAGTAGTTTGAGATAAAAAGCATTGCTTCTGTCTTGTATCTTTGTCTTTGAAAATGTGTAACCTTAATACCTTTTTCTGTTCACTGCATCAGAGAATCTGAAAAAAACATTTCTGCTGCAGGTACAGAGGGGCCAGGGGTCAGCATCTCGGAAGAGAGACAAAGTCTCACTGAAAACTCTGGGACAACAGTTGTTTACAATCCGTATGCTGCCCTTTCCATCGAGCAGCAGAGGCAGAAGCTGCCGGTGTTCAAGGTACGTCAAACAAGCATGTGCAGCTGTGGACTTGAATCTGTGTCTGCAATTGCTTTACGTTTGGTGCTGAAGGGAGTAAGGTCCTCTTAATGATTCTTGAGAACACAGTGATCTCAGAGAAACTTTTATCCTAAGGGATTACTTTTCAAAATGTGTGTGTGTTGCTAACCTTATAAGTCTTGAAAGTCCTTAAGGTTTTTTCAGTTAGATTTTACATATTGGAAAAATGAAAGAATTGGAATGACATTCTTTTTTCCCTTCGTTGCTTTTAATTATGGACAATTTAAAACATACAGAAAAGTAGAGAAAATAGCACAATGAACTTTATGTACCAAATTACCAACATATGAACAACTTTTGCTTTCTTATGATTAATTAATTCATTTTGAGTTGGGGTCTCATTGCAGTACAGTGGCATGATTACGGCTCACCACAGCCTCGACCTCCTGAGCTCAGGTCATTCTACACTTGGTGAAATTTTTAATTTTTGCAGAGACTAAGTCTTGCTATATTGCTTAGGCTGGCCTCCAACTCCTGTACTCAAGTAATGCTCTTGCCTAGCTTCCCAAAGTGCTGGGATTACAGGTGTGAGCTATCACACCTGGCCTTGCTTTATTTTTAAAGATATCCCTTTAAACAAGATTACTTGGGAATACAGGGTTGTTTCAGTTGAAGAGGTCAGTTAGGATTTTAACTTCTTTTGAGACAATGGTGGGATTTTGGTGTGGTTACTGCATAGAAAGTGCACATCCAGATGCTTAATTTTAGTAGTATTCATGAAATGGACACTTGCTCAGCTGCAGGAGACCAAAGTGTAAACAGAATTCATTCAGAATACATACATTTATGGTGAACTATATTTTTTCAGTACAGATGACCACAGCTGATGGACACACTTTCTTCCTGTTGGCAAGTCCATGTGGGAAACCACATTGTAATCGGGAAGTGCAGAGCCAAAGGCTGGCTAGATAAACTTGAGGAATATTTATTTCATATATTCCTGATGAGGGTGATGAATTCTCCCTGCTGTTCAGGATGCCTCTGGAGTGACCCAAATCGGTATGCCTCCAGCACCTGTGTCTCTTTCTCTCTTTCTCCTGGACAGTGGTGGGTGACAGATGCCAAGTTCTTATACTCAGGGAGTTCCTTTATCTAGACTGAACTGCGAATTCCTCTTCTACAAATATATTTTTTCTCCAAATGGATATGAAACAATAGCCTTCTTAATTTAGCCACGTTGCCTTAATTGGAGTTTTATGTGGACCCATGCATTTTAGTCACTTATGAACTGACACTCTGGATTTTTCCTCAAGTGACCAGCTCTTCATTATGTTTGAATGTTGACGAGTTTGACACTTAGGAGATGAGACGATGGGTTCACTGCTGTTTCCTCACCACTGCAGGATATGGTTTGAGCCGTGGTGAAGTGCCTGGGCTCTGGAGCTGGATTTCAGGGTTCTAACTCCAGCCTCAACGTTTGTGTGCCCTGTGACCTTGCTCTACCATTCTGTTCTTTCATTTTCTTATCTACAACTCGGGACTAATAGTAGTACCTACTTCATACAGTTGTTGTGAGGACCAGATGAGTAATTTCTGCAGGGCGTTTAGCAAGTTACGTGTCATGTAGAAATGCTCAAGTATAAAATAAATTATTGTTTATTCAATAATTTAAGTTTTGGCCTTTTCTTGACTATTCTGTGTCCTCCAACTGTACTTATAAGGTAAAATAAGTGAAACAGCAAATTAAAAAAAAGAAAACAAAATGTTGAGAAGTACCAATGAAGTTAAAATGGTAAGAAGAGTATAAGTTACTGATACAAAGCAAGCAAAGCAGAGTTTAAGCACAATTGAGATTTTATAAAATGTTAAGGATAAATCTAGATGGAGAAAAGCATACAAAATTACCCCTTCACCACTCCCTTCTCCATTCAAACTAAAAGTAAAAGTAGCTTGAAAAACAGAAGTTGGAACTAAAGCAGCAACAAATCTTTAAAGATTACCCTCTTTTTCCCAGCACCATTACAAGTCAGCCTTTCCCTTGTTTGCCTTCTGTAGACTGGTGTGGAGACAGAAAGTGACTCCATCTTGGTTGCTGATTTGCCATCTTGACTTCTGGTTAGCCCCAGTCCCATGAATACCTCCTGATTTCTACTTTATTTACTGTCCTTAGTGTAAGACTTGTCAATCCTGATGTTATCACATCACACAAATTATAGGCTATGACACATATAGCATTCTTGCCTGGTCTGGAGGGTTGCCTTTAATTGCCTCACTGGAGCACATAATACCTTTTGCCTATGGTATATGAACACTGGGTCTGGGGAGTAACAGGGTGGAGGTCTTCCTGACCTGTGGCTGACCAGACCACACTTCTGTCTATAAATTCCCCTGGTAAAACACCCTTTACTGACAAACGATTTGTCTGTCTTGTTTTTTGGTTTCTCGGCTCCTTCAGCATTTAGGGGTCACTTTGCCTATATGGCCCCTTCATGGAACAGCTGACATTCTTTTTGGATCATGGATACTGTTATACAAAGTTGTCCTCTTATTCCCGCCATCTCCACCTCTCTGAAGCTCAGTCCCATCCTACTTATCAGCTTTGTTTAATTTCACTGCACTTGTAAGTGATAGCATCCTTATTTCAGTCACTAAACTGAAAATCTTTTTATCTCTCTTGAATGTCACACATCTGACTCTTTCCACTTGCAATGCTTCTTAGACCCTTTAAACCTTTAGCAAATGGAGTTGGAATTAATGCCTTCAGTTTCTTCACACTCAAATCAGTGTTGTTTGCTGCTGCCCACTTTCCTTAAAACAGCCTACACTGCCTCCCAGGTGAAGCCCAGACTCATTAACTTTTCATTCAAGGCCTTTAATACTAACTACACCTAGTAACACATTTTCAAACCAAACTTGAACTTTTCATGCCTAGCTACTAGAATTTGCATAGTTTGTTTATTTCCATTTTCTTTTCTTTTTTTTGCTTATTTTTTTTCATTTCCTGGAATGCCTTGTCTGTTTTTCCATTTATCTGTATTCAAGTTGTCTTTCAAGTTTTCTTTGACCACCTGTCCATGTATCTATCCATCCATCCATCCATCCATCCATCCTTCTCTTCACCCAGTGAATCTAGCATTTGCCAAATACCTGCAAAGAACTCAAATCTTTCTTCTTCTTTCATTCAAAAACAAAACACAAAGTCCAAGCAGCCCAGAAGAAAACATCTAGACTATAGTCATTAGACTACCTCAGCAGAATCTCCTGTGGGTGCTTGTGGGAATACAGATTGCTGGACCTCACCCTAGCCTTGCTGAGTCAAAAACTATGAAGGCTAGGAATCTTCTTTTTTTTTGAGTCAGAGTCTCACACTGTTGCCCTGGCTAGAGTGCAGTAGCGTGGTCACAGCCACTGCAGCCTCAATGTTCAGGGCTCAGGTGATCCTTCTGCCTCAACCTTCCAAGTAGCTGGAATTACAGGCACACACCACCATGCCCGTCTAATTTTTTGATTTATTGTAGAGGCGAGGTCTCGCCAAGTTACCCAGGCTGGTTTTGAACCTCTGGGCTCAGGCACTTCTGTCCCCTCCACCTCCCAAAGTGCTGGGATTACAGGCATGAGTCACTGCGCCCAGCTGGAATCTTTATTTTTAACAAATACCCTAGATGCTAGTTAGAAACTGGCAACATCCCAGCTCTTCTGAGTCTTACCAAGCGTGCTGTTGGTGTGGTACCAGATTACCTGAGTGATAACCAGAATGGAAGAATTAGGAGGTTTTTTACTTCATTCCAAACCATGTGTTTTCATTCCAATACCTTCATTACTTTGTGGACCATCAGATGTGCCTATAATCAAAAGTGTGTACAAAAATATCTTCTGAAGCTAAGGTGTTGGAATTATCTGACTTTTCAGTGATCAGACTAGTGTTTCTGCTCACACTGAATGGGTAAAGAAAGGCTCAGTTGAAACATATATGTAACCTGGGTGATTTATTGTGAACTTGGATTTAGAGGAAGAGGTGAAACATTTTTTTCTGGGACTTTTTACAAGTTAATAAATGAAAATAAAAATGCATGTTGTATAAAATTCGGAGGGTTTCCTTCACACTCCTATTCCCCTCTCTGGAGGCAGCATTGTCACTAGTTTCTTGTTTTGTTTTTTCCTGGAGATAGTCTACACATAAGCAAGCATATATGTGTTTACCCTTTCTTTAAAAATACAAATACTAGTGTATCATTCACACTGTTCTACACTTTGCTATCTTAGCATACTCTGTAGATAATTTTATATCAGTACAAATAGACACTTGTTCTCTTTAGCAACTGCAAATTATTCTATTATTGGAATGTTTTATAACTGGTTTAACCAAACTCTTGTTGACGAACATTTAGGTTGTTTGAATATTTGGCTATTATAAGCAGTGCTGCAGTGAGTATGCTGTGTGTTCGGTATAACTTGTTATAAGTCAAAGTCTTGAATCAAAGGGTATGTACGTGAGATATTTTGGTAAGTATTACACTCAATTGCAGTTGTATCATCTTGTACTGATACCAACAGTACCTGAGAGTTAGGCATACATTTTGATAGTTCTTTTTAAAATTTACTTTCCTTTGGAAACAGCTCATCTCACAATATTTAAATATCACAGTTTAGGTCTTTTGAAATAATATATGTCATTTACAATGTGTGCTTATTCTTTTTCAGCTTAGGAATCATATTTTATACTTGATAGAAAACTATCAGACTGTGGTGATTGTTGGAGAAACGGGGTGTGGGAAAAGCACGCAGATTCCTCAGGTGAGTATGTGTCTAATATATGTCTTTACTCTCAGATGTGGATGGAAGGATTTTATAACTTGAGAACTCTAATTATTATCATTTACATTTTTAAGGTTGCCTCTCAGGAAATATTCGCTTCATCTAGATATTTTTTATTAAGCTTTTGGGACTTACAGTTTTTTTAATTGGTACTAAAGTAACAGTTTGTCTTTGATTTATTATAATTCCAAAATAATAGTGGAATAGCCGCTCTTTGAAAAGAACAATGGTGACTCATTACAAAGATGTGTAATAAACAGTTTTTTTCCTCAGATAATTACAGTTGAAGAAGTAGGGGTCAACTACTGTATAGTTATAAGTAAATACAAATTAGGTATTGTAGAATTATGCAGTGCTATCGACAACCTTTTCTTCCTAGGGAAGCATACATGGTATGGTTAGGAGTGGAAAGAAGGATAGGGAAAAACCTTGGAAAGGAAATGGCATTTGAAATTGACCTTGAATGGTCAGTGGGAGCTGACGGGGAAGATGTTCCAATCCAAGGAATATTGTGGGTAGATGCCTGGGAATGGAGAAGTGTAGGGCGAGTTCAGAGTAGTGTGTCTTAAGAACCTTGACTTGAAGGGTGAAGACTGGTAATTAAATGACAAGGTTGAGAGAACTTGCAGATTTTTTTCTTTTTAATGTTAATTGTTATTGCATGTAAAATACATATAGGAAAGTGCCTGTATCATAATTGTACATCTTGTTACATTTTCACAAGTAAATATACCTGTGTTACCAGCACCCAAATCAAAAAACAAAACATTACTATAACCTCAGAAGTCCTTTCCTCTTATGTTCTTTGACTGTCCTTTCTCCCCATCCCTAAAACCAAAAACACAAGGGTAACTCTTATTCTGGCTTCTAACTTCCTAGATTAGCTTTGCCTGTTTTTGAGCTTTATTAAGGGATAATTTGTTTTGTCCAGCATTATGTGTGAGAGATTCTTCCTTGCTGATTGTCGTTACAGTTGGTTCATTGACATTGCTGCATAGCAGGGGTCAGCAAGTCACAGCCGTGGGCTAGATCCAGCCCACCACCTATTTTAGTAAAGAGAGCTTTGCTGGCACACAGCCACACTTGTTTGTTGATGTTTTGGCCACAACTGTTTTCATGCCATGGCTCAGAGTTGAGCAGTGGTGACAGAGACCCTAAGACCCTAAAATCCTAGAAATGTACTAATAGTCCTTTCCAGAAAAAGTATGCCAACCCCTGCTGTATAGTATTCTGTGACTTATTTATTCTTCCTACTATTGATTGACATTGGTGTTGTTTCCAGGTTTTACGTATGAATAGAGCTGCTATGAATATTCTTGTGCTTGTCTTTGATGAACATTATACACTGCTGGACTATATCTAAGTAGCATCACTGGATGTTCAACTTCAGTCAATAACATCTAAGATTTTCTTTCTTTCTTTCTTTTTTTTGGTTTGTTGGTTTCTTTTGAGTCAGCGTCTTACTCTGTCGTTCAGGCTGGAGTGTAGTGGCATGCTGCTTGTGGCCACTGCAGCCTCAACCCGCTGGGCTCAGGCGATCTTTCCACCTCAGCCTTCCAAGCGCCACCAAGGGCTGCTGGTTTTTTGATTCATTGTAGAGACGAGGTCTCGGCATGTTGCCCAGGCTGGTCTCGAACCTGTGGGCTCTGGTAATCCTCTCGCCTTGGCCTCCCAAAGTGCTGGGATTACAGGCGTGAGCCACAACATCCAGCCTAAGATTTTCAAAGTGGTTATGTAGTTTGTGAGCAAGTAAACAACATGATGAACTGAACTTTAGTTGAGTTTTTAAAATTCAGTTACAAGATGACTTAGAAACTGGAGGAGACAGGCCATGGAAGGCTATTGCAGTGGTCTAAGGAAGAGTAGTATAATGGCATCTTTGACCAAGAGGTGATTTGGGGATGATCTGGGAAGGATAAGAATGCAAACAAATTTAGAGATAGGTTCTGTAGGAATTAGGAACCAGATGATATTTGTGTTGACAAAGGGAAAGGGAAAGGGATAGAGGTGAACACTGACTGACCATGCTTTGCTGCCTTGGAGAACAGTGGGAGTGCTAAATGCAATAGAAAAGTAAGGATTGGATTTTTGGAGGAATTGATGTGTTTGATTTTAAACAGACTTATTTTTCTCTATGTCATTGTTGGTCTTTGAAAACATTATTAGTGAGAAAATTGGACTGGGAATCTGAAACTTGGCAGAAGTCACTTGTAGAGGATATGGACATGGGGATTGTCCACATATTCATCACATGACATCCTGATACATGCAGGAGTTTGAGGGAATGGCAGGAATTGAGAATCAAGAACAAAGCCCTGGGAGCACCAACATTTAGAAGTCAGGAGCAGACAGACAGATTGGCAATTGGGGAGATGGCAAAGGAACCAAGAGACTGACCATGGTCAGAGAAAGCAAAAGAGGAGTGTGGTTTCTGGAAAGATGGGTAGATGGCGATTTCAGCCAACAGCATGGCCAGGATGCAGAAGACCAGTCCTGGGTTGTTGATCTTGGGGAGAGCAAGCCCAGTGGTAGGGTTTTATGGTTAAAAGATTCTTAGGGAAAGGTGATGAAAATTCCTTCGCATTTTGAATAATGTTAATGATATATTATTGATTGCCTGGTTCAGACTTGTGGACATGCCAGCATCTCTGTGTGGTTCTCAATTCCTTCATCTGTTCCCCCTTCCCATTTCTTACTAATGGATTTAGATTGGGACTTAGACCTAGGTATTTTTAAAAGGTTCCACAGTTCTAATGTGCAGCTAGGGAAAGGTAGGCTGAGGGGAATGACCTAGTCTTTACTAGGACAATTTGAAATGCAGACAACAGAGGAAATGGTGACCTGAAAGAGAAAGGTACCTGTATGGGCATCAAGAGCCAAGCAAGTTACTTGTTCCTTAAAGAGAGACACAGGAGATAGACCAGGTTAAATTACTGAGTGATTATCGGCCAGGCCTAGTGGCTCATGCCTATAATCCCTGCACTTTGGGAGGTCGAGGTGGGAGGATCACTTGAGACCAGTAGTTTGAGACCAGTCTGGGCAACCTAGCAAGACGGTATCTCTATTAAAAAAAAATTAGTGATTATCATTTAGAGAGTAATATTATAATAATATAACAAGTAATATAAATCATTACAACACAAAAACAATAATAAGGGCTACATAAAATAAGCACTTAACTCATGTTGATCTATTTAACCCTCAATGATTCTATGAAATAGATACTGTTATTATTTTCATTTTACAGGTGAGGACACTGTAGAGAGTGATAAAGTTAGGGAATATAGAACAGAGGTAAAAAGCCACATGATATTTCATAATTGTAGTTTGCTTTGAAATTAGTCTGTGATTAATTAGTCAGCTTAGGATAAACTATGTTGTGGTAACAGAGAGCCTGAAAATCTCAGTGACTTAAGAACACAAAGGTTTATTTCTTGCTCATACTATGTGGTCACTTGGATTGGCTTTGAGGTGGCTCCATGTCATCATTGGGACTGAGGCTGACGGTGCTGAGAATGTGGGACTTGTTGATCTTGTGGCAGATGACAGAATCATGAGACAGGTCTTAAAACTTCTGACCGAAAGTGACCCTTCTGCTCACATTTCATTGGTTAAGGCAAGTCACGTGACCAGGCCTGATAGCAGCAGGAAGGGTGGGTAGCAGATACTTGGAACAATGAAAAATATATCAGGTGATCTGTTCATTTACCCCAGCAAGGTTTAGCTGCCAGAGAATATAGTCTTTTTTTTGGTATTTCATTTTTCTGTCTTTTTTTGTTATTGAGGCAGGGTCTCACTCTGTTGCCCAGGCTAGAGTGAAGTGGCATGATCATGGCTCACCACAGCCTCAACCTCCTGGGATCAGGTGATCCTTTCTCCTTAACCTCTTGACTAGCTGGGACTCTAGACATGTGCTACCACACCTGGCTAATTTATTTTTATTTTTATTTGTAGAGACAAGGTCTCGCTGTGTTGCTCAGGCTGGTCTTGAACTGCTGGACTCAATCTGTCTTCCTGCTGTGGCCTCCCATAGTGCTGGCCTCTTTCATTGTTTTTTAAGTTTAATTTTGTGTTTAATTGACACATCATAACTGTGCATATTTATGGGGTACAATGTGGTGTTTTGATACACGTATTCTATAACCTTCAAATCAAGTAATTAGCATATCCATAATTTCATTATTATTTCTTTGTGGTGCCCTTCTGAGAGGCTGAGTTCAGGGAAGGATGGCAGGAAGGAGACAGAATAGGAGCTGAGGATCCAGGCTGGGTAATGTGACAGCAAACAAAGTAGTTTCTTTTAATTTTAAGATTTAAATATTTTGAAGTTTTTGAATATTTAATAGGCTCACATGGTTTAAAATTCAGAAGGCACCTGGTATGATGTCTTGTGCCTGGAACCCAGCTACTTGAGAGGCTAAGAGGAGGAGGATCACTTGAGGCCAGGAGTTTCACACAAGCCTAGGCAATGTAGTGAAACCCCCATCTCAAAAAAACAAAATTCCAAAGGACATAAAAAGAAAAACATTTCCTTCTGCCCTGTTTTCTGATACCTGTTTCCTTCAGGCAGATGCAACCAATGTTATCAGTTTCTTGGTAGAGATTTTTTCGTGCATTTGCAAAGAAATGTGTTTTTTATATATAAATAGTATATTTATGCTCTCCTTTTTAAACATGAAATATCTATACATGTTTTAATGTACCTTGTCTTTTAAAATTATTCTATCATTGTTTAAAAAAAATTTTTTTTTTGAGTCAGAGTCTCTGTCACTCAGGCTGGAATGCAACAGCAAGATCACGGCTTACTGTAGCCTCAACCTCCTGGGCTCAGATGATCTTTCTGCCTCAGTCTTCCAAGTAGCTGGGATTATAGGCATGCATCACCACGCCTGGCTAATTTTTTTGATTTTTTTGTGGAAATGAGGTCTCGCTCTGTTGCCCAGGCTGGTCTCAAACTCCTGGGCTCAAGCAGTCCTCCC